GCTCCCAAGGCAAGACCCTGTTCCTGAGTGCTCAATTCATATTGAAACTTGAACTATGACACCCCATGGCACAACGTTTTTCCCCCGATTCTTTCATCCACCGGCCTCTCCCTCAGGTTACCCTCTCCAATCAAACATATTTTCATCATCTGTAGTGCATTGCTTGTTTGCACGTTGGTGAAGTGCGCGTTAGCGTCGAAACTGACCATCGTTTAGTTGACTCGTTTTGCACGAACTCAGAAGAGCTCTTTATGAACGGATGCATTCGCCCTGTCAACGTTTGTAATAAACCAGAAATTGCATACCGACCTGTCGCTACACCGTTAAGCTTTCCCTAAGTTGATGCGGTGCTCACTCGCAAAGGTCAGTGCGACGCACCATGCATTACAGTGCATATGCCGTTGATCACCTCATCATCCAGGCTGATGATGCCTTACATTGAACAGCAGATAACATGAAATTCGGCCACACCTGCCGTTCCCTAACGCCTGACATGCTGCTCGCATTGTTCAATGACGACGCGCGAGGAAGCACCAGGTACATAACAGATCTCACATGGATGGGTAAGGGCCTGTAAGTACGTTCGTTCAGCAAACGCACCGGTAACCGTGAAGCAACTACTTGAAATATTCCTCAGGAGAAAACTAAAAACGAACAAAAACGCAATAAGGACAGCAGGCAAGTGCATTCGCAGGATGCATTCGCAAGCAAGCTAAGGGTTAGTATGTCACGCGCCTTCGCCGCTTTTCTGGCACCAGTAGCCCAAACTCCATGCCGGTCGCCTCTCCACAATGGCACGCGAGCGGCAGCTATGCTATCCTCCCGGACACGTCTCGCGCACGTGAAATATCACGTGGACAGATAAGTGCCCGTACGGCCACTTGAATCAACCACAACTACCACGCACAGACGATTACACACTGACACCGCCAAGCACGGATCATGCCACGTGACTTTGGCGAACATGCATGCTGGCTTGCCTGAGCCAATCGTTGCTGAGTTTAATGTAGAAGCGGCTATGCACGCCATCGCCAATGCCTTATCAATGTGCGACACCCCACGGTGTCGCAGATAGGTCTGCGTTCAATAGCCAACCAGCATCCCATTCCGTGCACCAGTCTGATTGGCTGATTTGGAAGCGATCACTCGACGAACGGTACAATGAACAAGGACTGATAAGAAAGCATGTGGTTGACAAGTCCCGAAGGATGCTTGGAATGAAAATTAAAATTGAAAGGACCAACGAATAAGTAAATCGTCATTTTAAGTGTCCCAATTTGAATGCACTACTGCATTACGATAGTTTGAAAAGGGCATAGGATGTGGACACACAAAATAGTATAGAGAGCTGTTGTATTTCAGTAAGTGCGTGGGAAATAAGAGGAAATGACAACGGTCACTCGTGTGTTGCTTCATTTGACAGTGGTATGTTAATCTTTGGATATATCCAGACTACTCGCATGGACGCTTCTGCATGTATCTTCACCGCCACGTTGCGGAGAGGGCCGTTAAGCACTTGGTTTGGTTTGCGTTATTTCGTCTTCGAGTGAAACAGAGTACAACAAATAATGCAAATTGCATAGCGTGTCATCAGGATACTAATTTTTGAGGTCCAAGCCCGTTGGAAGTAACTTGAAAGCGCTAAGAACTAAGATATCTATGACGGTAGACGATTTCCTCAAGAAGGAATTTGATTCCGCCAGTTTACCTTCAACTGACCGCACAGCGTATCTACTGGTCTTAAAGTGTTGACGTTTCAACAGAGGTGCCTTTGTTTGTTACGCATTGGGCCGCACTTATAGGCTACTGTTACCCTTGAAATGCATAGTCATGTATGAGCACTATGTGTGTACGCACAACAGAGTCTCTCCAGTTAGAAAACCGTCACCTGAACTTTGGGACAAGGTTTACAGTACACGCATCGACGACACTGTCAGATTTTCGCTATTGCGGTGAAGCGTGAACGATACGCAAGGTAACTTTTGGCTGGAACGAATTCGTCAACATTGCTCCTAAATAGACATAGTGCATCTGTTAGTGGAACAGAACACCGGGCATCAAGTGAACCGTAGGTGGCGAAACGACTGACCGGGCTGTAAGCCATTGCTACGTCGCCTTGGGTGGGTTGATAATGTCTACCGAATGAATTCGGTGAAAATACCAAATGCATCTGCCCTACGTTAGATGCAACACAGGCAGAGGGAATACGTTGGGCTGAAATCTAACTTACTGGGCCATGATCAGAGTGAGTATGATATGTATTAAGGTCAAGATCAGTTACCGGGACAAAATGGTTATCCGGCAGCGCTAACAACGTGAGCACTCTAAAACTACCACCATCAGGATGTACGAAAATGGACTAATGCCTCAGGAACAAATCAATTGCTTATGCTAAGTGTGAAATCATCGTTCTGATCCGGGAAAAACTACAGTACGACCGACCACGTATGCCTCAGATGAACCGGCCTATTATATCATCCTCGCTGTCAAGCAATTTACGTAAGGGTGTTTCGGATAAACTGGTGTCGCCACTTAAAATCGAAACTGAATAGGATTACCTTCTACTTCGTGTTCCAGGTCATACCAGTAATGCGGATTATTTGGTGCATGTATTGCGTCGTCACTGCGTTCAGCTATGTGTGAATAAGTGAACCGTTTCTCTTGTCTGCTTGTGGTTTATACCTGAGTGCTACGTTCACATTGACTATGGTCGACAAAAATGTTGCTATATACTAACCCGTGCAATACTAACAGCCTAGGCACTCTCTTCGGTGGAACGTTGCTTCGGGTGATAGAATGCACAGTCTTTTTAACAGCACTCAACTAAAAGAGTGGTTTTATCATGAAGCACCCTAACCGGACCCCTGTTTCGTTTATGTTTCTCCAATTTTTGCATCAGCTGTCTGTGTGCTAGAAGAGCACGATGTGGTGGCCAACCTGGCATGCATTCTAGTTACCTGGTTCCCTGTCTTATTACTCTGGGCTTACACCGAATACGGGTTGCGCTGGTGAAGCAGCGCGTAGTGCAACGCAAGCCACATATGCGGCGTACGCAGACAGAAGAGTCATGACTGTTTAACCACGTACCTGGTAGCTGCGGAATCAGAAGCCCTCAGTTGGTGCGTTTGTCATGTTGTAGGGAGGCGGATGACAGTGCTTGCCCGGAGGACAGAAAGATCACTAAAACAGGAGCGGGCGAAAAACGGAACGGACGCAATGAGGAAGAGCAGACGGAGCAACACTGGCCTGACGGAACGAGACGAAAACGGGGCAGGAGTAGCGCCCGGTAGTGATCCTGAGCCAGGCAAAACGGGGAGAGTATTTGTCGAGAACGTAATAAATCGGAAAAAACCGCCGCTAATGCATCTTCCTGGTACTACCACAAGCAGAGCAATACATCTACGTGCAAGCAAAACACGAGTCGTCGAACGACTCCGGATCGGTCAGAATGGGACGCGTGGAAGCGGAGTGACGGGGGCGAAATGGACATGGAACAACTATTTCCGTACCTCAAAGAGTGCATGGACGTATCGCGAGCGGAAGCCAGGAGAGATGGTGCAACGGAGGGGGGTGGAAACATTTCTCCATTAATCTACGCCTGCGTGAGTGATGACATGTGATTGCGCCAATAAAGATTGTGCTACATTGTCGCGTCGTTGTCACTACAATGTTACAGTCTCCTAGTTTGTAGGATAACGAGTATGGGCGCAGTTTACTCAAGGGTTCCACCACCCTTTTCAACTGACATCGAAGAACTTAGTGCCAGTGCTCGACGAAACTGCCAAACAACGCAGTCAAATTCGCAGTTGGAGCACTTTCTGGGGGGGACACCTTTTGAGTACTCAGACTATTCGAAAGAAAATACAATAGAAATTTAGACTTTATGCCGTTCGGGAGCTAAAGTTCTCGGCTATCGGTACTTCAAGCTTGAAGTTTTATTCATGGAGCTCAACTCAAAGTGAGCGGAAGAATGCGTCGAAGCCTGCGATATGCTCCGCATCTATCCTCCGACAACCGAGGTTCATTAACAAGCCCAATCCTTTGTGGGATACTTTACCCATTCTTCCTGGAATATGGCTACCAACTGTGGTGGTAGCTGTCTAGCGAACAACAATGACCCCTGGCCGACATTTTGCTTGCTCCCTTCGAGAGCCCCAAATCTTTGACAGCATGTGGATAATTGATCTGGACTGGCGAGAGCAGAACTCAAGTAACTTCCGGTAGTAAGTAGATCGACCGAATGAAATGAGCTAAATTGTGAACAGCTCTAATTGTTGGGTGGTATGAAATGAGCTGGTGATTTTCTAAAATACAGAATGTTGATCGATGCTCAGACATAGTTTTCGCTTCACAGAGGGCCATTATGATGCAGATATTGTGCTGGTGTACTACCTGACTACTCTCTTCAGCTGTCTGCCATTTTTCATGGTATTCTCAATATTAGTATGGTTCAGATGCAATTGATTTCCCGCATCAAATCCCTTCGTGTCCACATAAGTTGATACATGTAACCGTAAAATGTTACAGTTTTTTGGATGATCATTGACAGTTGTCGAGATTTTATGAGCAGTTAACGGGATCGTAATGATTTTGCAACCTAAAATGGCGTAGCCGGGGCTAGTTTGATGTTTGATCTCGCTTGAGAAGCTCTGCGTACTTTGCGAACGTGAAGAGATTCGGCGGTGGGGGACATGACCCTACGTTGAACGATCGTAAGAATGAAAGACCGATTGGCTGCTTTGCACTCCTCCGTAACTTGTCAGTAGTTGGCCACCTTGCAGACATCTCTTAATAATACATGCACGGGACTGCGGTAAGTGGCGTAAAAAACTGTTCACGAAGTCCTCCCGTCTAGACTTATGCCAAGATATTTGAGTATTCCAAAATGCTCTCCTTTTCTCCTCATTAGAAGTAATAACACTGCTAAATGCGAAAACGCGTTAATACTATTGAGAAAATGCATTTCTTGGTGTGGCTGAAAACGAAGGATACTCGCTTACCAAATGGACACTGGATGGTGAAATAACCAGTCGCGCGGTGCGCCATCGTAAATGTTTTCCACGTCTCACAAGAGAATTAATAGCATCGTTGACTTCACTTGCACCTGAAATACGATAGTTGGTTCCAAGTAATCATTAACAGCAATTTAATAGCACGGACAAATATAGAAAGCTTAGACCCTATGTCAATAATGTGTTTTTTATGCATTGCAAAGAATTGCCGTTCGTGCACGCACAAAAAACTAGATATATCAACGAGTTAAGAAATAGAGAACCGTCTGACATTTTTTACCTAAGATACCAAACCAACCAGAGGACTCTCAAAAAACGGCAATAAGATTACTTTAATGTTGTCAGTTTCTGAGCATCGTCTGCGTAAGAAGTTCTGCTACGGAGCCAGGGGCAGTAGTACCATGCTTAAACAGCACTTTGACAACGTTTTCGGTGAATTTTTGAAGAAATGCCATTTTTAATGTTCTAATCCCAGAAGCCCACAAACTACACAACTCGGCTACAATCCCGAAAAGCACCAGACGCGTTTCGCTCTATGGGGGCTCCTCAGTGGCATGCATTCCTTCGGTCCCTTACTGTGGATTGACCCCATGACCGCTAGACGCAGATGACACCTAGCCGGCAGCTTAAGCCACTGATTCATGGAGGACGTCAGCTGGGCTAGATAATTTGCGAGCTAACTGAGATATAGTACAGCTAATATTCCACTGCCAAACAAGTTACAACCCTTCAAGATGACAGTGGCTCGCCTCCAGGTTATGGATTCCTCTGACTAGACGTTGGGTACATCCAAGCACACGTAGGTCACTGTAACCGTTCGAGTCCTAATTTTGAATATATATTCCATGCTGAATCGCCCGGAAAACATGGCTACTGGTGTAAATCATTACACTCTACGACGCGCCATCTGCGGTCTTTAAATGAACACATTTGAAGTTCCCAGTTTATGGTGCTCGACAATTAAATGTGGCTAACTGGTCACTAATGATATGAAGCCAAAACCCCTTTCACTGTTCACCCAGAACCACGTGGTTTCTGAGTCCCAAAAGCTTAAAACGTGGGGTCTTGATATGAATAGCATGATGAGTTCGCAATCTCGATAACAACACCTGTGCTGCATTTAGGGCTTAGCGTAAACACTGTGTTGGACTGATTCTCGAAAACAGATTTACTCACCAGTAGGAACTAATGAAAAGGCTATGTGACGATCACAAACTTCCGTACACAAGTGTTGACAGCCTTCGGAGGCTGCAGCGCGGAATCCCACGAATAGTCGCACTTGATAGATATGTGTAGTCGGTACGAAAGGGATTAGCGCATTGCGGCCTCGATACTTGCCTGTTTTCGAAAAGGCACTCGGATCCAGCTTTCTCCCTTTTTATAACGCCTACCCAATATTTCTTTCACGGTAGAAGTAGTCTTGTAAGTATTCGTCCAGAATACTCACAGTTCACCCTGCGAAGACACCACCTGCACGCATGCCGTACAGACTGCAAACAGCAGTCCAACTGAAACACTAACATTAGTCAGCGCTACCCAGAGGCGAAAAAGGTGTCGTCTGTGTGGAAACATTTGATCATCATCCTATGCATAATGCATGGTGTCACAATAATCCTGCAGATTTTCCCCCAGGAACGATGCCTCCTGCATTCCTTAAAATCATGGAACTAATCAACTTGGATACACTGATAAGTTATCAGAAACCGCCGTATTGCAGCACTGCAGGAAAATCTGTTTTGTAACCACTATCATTTACCACTAACATTTATTTCACGCTGCAGTACGACAGAGTTGATGGTGGGGATTGAAGTAATGTATTTGAACTAGTCAAAAAACGATAGGTCGCATGGACCTCCGTATCCAACTCCACAAGTTCCAGAATTGTAGCATATGTTACGAGAGTCTGTGTTCGGCTGGAAATGTTCCCCCTCCCCAGGAATATTTGGAGAGGCAAGTCTGAGGAACAATGACTGACCCAACGGAAGTCAAATTGTAGAGAGAACAACGGTGGGGGCGCACAGTCTTTATTGTCAACGCTCAACGGGGTCACCTGCTAACACACACGCTCGCACTTAAAGAGCACACTCCCAACCAACACGCAGCACACGCGTCACATTCTTGCCCCGATCTCCGTCATCCGATAGGTATGCGTTCGCCGATTTGCCCTCGTATCTTCGCTTCCACGCGTCCTATTCTGACCAGGCTGGATTCGTTCTAATGCTCTTGATTTGCTTAATTGGGGTTGCGTTGATCTCCTCGTGGTTATTTCTGGAGGCGCGACCAAACGCGTATCTCTCCGGAAATATGGGCTCTTCACCAATACATTCCCCGCTCTTCTCGGCCTGGGCCTAACATGGTTTGTCGTTCGTTGCCCCTTTCCGGTTTGCCCCGTAGGCCTAGAGCTGCTTTGTCGAATTTCGTCCAGGGTGTCCTCGTTACTTTTCATCTTCCTTAGTTTTTGCGGGTTGTCCGTTCTGCCAGTGATTCCCGCCTTTCGTGCCACTATTGCCGACCCTTCTCGAAGACCTGGTTCCCTCGGATACCATGGTCGTAGTAGAGGTGTATTCACCCAACGTTTTGCCATCCCATGGTTAATTCTGACATTCATTCCTTTCCTTTCGATTATGGTATAGGGACCTTTCCACCCTTGGTTGAACTTGCTCGCACCTGGTCCCCTATAGGCCGTTGGATCATTATTGCGCAGTCTTATTTGGTCTCTGGGGTTGAATGGTCTCCCCTTGTCTGTCGAATGTCGTGCGTCATAGTTCCCTTTATTCCGTAATTGTCATGCACTTGTTCCCCTTCGAGCGGTTATTTATAGTTCTCCGTGCTGCACCGCTGCATGTTCGCACTCGCGATCCATCACCAACCACGTATTGAGTGCGATTCTCGGCTCTCTCCCAAATTGCAATCCGAAGGGCGAAACCATGGTGCTTGACTGCATGATGGTTCGAGAAGCGAGTAGTACTTCGGGCAGTGCCTCTTCCAATGCCAGATTTTTTGTGTACTTGATCCATGTCCATCGTCCGGTTACACCATTCTGTCATCCCATTGGTTTGAGGGTGATACGGTGAAGTGCGCCGTCTCTGGATGCCCCATTTCGATAATACTGCTTGGAACGCTTTTGACTCAAAGCATGGACCTTGGTCAGTGACAACACAATGCGGAATTCCATACCGCGCCGGTACATTGAATTCGAAGATCTGTGCCACGGTTTCGCCTGGCTGGTCTTTAATAGGTATGGCCTCGACCAATCAGGGAAATAATCAATCAACACAAGGATGTGACTGTTACCTGATGGGCTCAGCGGCAAGGGTCCAAATACATCTAAGCCCCAGTACTATAGCGCCTTGGTAACCTCAATCGATTGCATTGGCCGTCTGGGAGCATCCGCCTGCCGAGTGGTTTGACAGTTTGGGCACCCGAATATATGCCGCTACGTCCCTCCTCATCTTTGGCCAAAGTACTCGTCTCCGGAACAAGTTCAAAACGCTCTCACATCCCATGTGTGCGTTAGCACAAACCACTTGGATTACGCGTTTTCGCTGATCTGCTGGGATAAAGAGCAGTTTCCTTCCGTTTGTTGCCAACAACAAATTGTCATTTCTTGTGCACGGTCGGTCCCAGATCTTAACGAGTTCCTTCGTCTCATCCGATGTTGTGTCCGGCGTGGTGCCCAATCGTAAATGACTGCATAGTGATTTCACTAGTTCTTCCTTCCTCTGCATTTCGAGTAGGTTACTCTACTCTGCTGTGACAGCACACACCGGTATTTCTGTGTCTGGTATGATGTCGTCCATCGACGGCCGCGACAGCATGTCAGGTAGTACCTTCTACGTCCCGTCTACGTGCCCGATAGTGAAGGTAAATTCTTGGAGTCGATATGCCCATCGCGCAAGACGTCCTTGCGGATTTTGCGTTGTCATCAACCACGACAGCGGTTTGTGGTCCTTCATAACGTGGAATTCCTTCGCCAAGTGGTAGGTTCTCCACATATTCAAGGCCCAAACGATAGCAAGTCATTCCTTCTCCGTCGTGGAGTATTTCTGCTCCGCACTCGTCAGCACTCTACTGACATATTCTACTACGCCCGATGGTTGGGACAGCACTGCACCGATTGCGACGTTGCTAGCATCGACCGGAACTGTGAACTTTTCCTCTGGACTGGGTATCCGTAAGCACTTTGGGGATTCTGCCACGTATGCCTTTATGTGGTTGAAAGCCTCCTCCGCTTCGGTTGTCCACACGAATGGCTGATCCGTGTACAGCAAGTTCAATAATGGGTTGATGTTTTCCGCAAAACGAGGGACTGATTTCGAATCATATGCCATTACTCCGAGGAAGGAACGAAGCTGACCTTTGGACTTCGGGATGGGGAAATTTTGGATCGTCTCCAGTTTCTCTGGGAGCGGCCGTATTTGACTGCTCCCCACGATGTGACCCAAGCACACAATCGACCTCTGGGCTATTTGTGATTTCTGGCGGCTTAGCTTCAAGCCAGCTTCTTTCAACCGTGACAGGACGTCCGCGATTCTGCTACAATGCTCGTATTCTGTCGCGGAGAAAATGACGATGTCATCTCCGTAAACCATGGCACTTTGGAAGTTTTTCAGTATCATTAGTAGCGGTCACCTGAATGTAGCGTGGCGTTACACAGTCCAAAGGGTATCCTCAAAAATTCGTACTGCTGACCGTTGGGCTGAGCATTTGGAAAGGCAATTTATTTGACCGGAATCGTTAGATTTCTCTCCGGCCACTGATCACCCCGCTCCCTGCGCTGTCTATTTGGATTCACCCACTCGCTCAGAAGTAGAACGTAATATCGCACCGTTGAAGTTAACTAAAGCAGCGGGATCAGATGAGCTACCTCCAACCCTCATCGAATTCGGGAGACCTGTTCTTGTGATTGATTTATACGAGTTAGTAGTGAAACTGTTGGAGCAGGAAACTGTCCCAACCGACTAGAGCCGCTCCGTCATAGCCCCAATTTTCAAGGGAGGCTCACGATCGGAATGCAGCAACCATAGATGAATCAGTCTGATCTCCATCGCCTTCAAATTGCTCGCCTCTGTCATCCTTCACAGACTGACTGGCACTCGTGAAAGCTATCTTCGTGAAGAGCAAGCCGGATTTCGTTGAGGTCATGGCTACATTGACCACATCTTCACCTTGCGTCAGTTGTTGGAGCACCGTCACATATAATGGCGGTCCACCGTTGTCGTGTTCCTCGATTCTGTGGATAAACGTGCACTTTGGGACTGTCTACTCAGGAAAGGTGTACCTGAAAACCTGTGAATTTTATCCGATCATTATACGCGCGTAGCTCAGCCAGAGTGAGGGCTTGCGACAAACTGTCGCCACCCTTCAATATCTCCAACGGTGTGAGACAAGGATGCCCGTTATCACCTTTCCTCTTCAACTTCGCTATTGACGAAGTCATAGAAATCGCGTTCGCAGGACACGACTTAGAAGCTGTGGATCTGCTCCCAGGAGTATGACCTCTTGACTTGTAGTATGCTGACGACATCGCCCTCATCTGTGACAGCTCCCAGACGTGCCAAGCCGCGCTGGACAGATTAGCAATGGCTGTCAGCCGCTTCGGGCTTTACTTTGCACCATCGAAGTGCAAACCGTTCATCCAAGATTGGCCTGGACCGCATCCGTCGCTGACCCTTCGTGGAGATCAGCTAGAAATCATCCAAAAATTCAACTACCTGGGAAGTGGTATCAGCGGCGTTGGGATCGAAGACGAGATCACGAACCGTATGGCGAAAGCTCGAAGTGCTTTTGCTGACCTTCGCCACTTATGGCGGCTGCGCGACATCACACTCACCCTGAAGGGTAGAGCGTACAGTGCAGCGGTACGTTCGTCCTTACTGTACGTTTGCAAAACCTGGACCCTAAGATCGGCGGACATGACCATCGGTGCCTTCGCAGTTTGGCTTGCATCTGGTGGGAACACCGCGTAAGTAACGAGAACGTTCGACGCATTGTTTACGGCTCAGGAAAAGGATCTGAACCGCTCAGCACCGTTATTTTCCGCACCAGGCTCCGATGGCTGGGCCACGTGTTGCGCATGCCAGCTCTCCGACTCCCGCGACGTGCGTTGTTTGCTCGCCGGGGGTGTGGATTGAAGAAGTGGAGGGGTGGCCAAGCGATGACTTGGTCGAGAGAAATGAAGGTCCTCACTTCGAAGCTGGCCTCAGTTGGAGCGTCTCAGCTCCCTGGTTGGGGTCCGAAAGAGGATGAACACGTTAGGCTGGATACACTTGTTGATATGGCTAGGAGCCGACCTTAGTGACGCTCGTGCTGTGAGTTTCTTTGTCTCACTTCATCTCTCTTAGCCTCTCTCTCCAACCACGATCTCATTATTTAGCATTTTGTGATTTTGCATATTAAATTACATTTTTTTCTGCTGCATAGTAGCCGGCAGGTAGCTTACCGGAACGATGCCCATCCGTTACCGGTAGCTCAGCTGGCTTACACCAGTTGCATATTACTCCCCTTTTCTTTTGGGTATTGCGACACATTAGCTGAGGTGTTCCCCACCTCAAACTAATGTAGTTAATGAGTGAGTGACTGCCGCGTTTAAGGATAAATTAACAGTGTATGGTAGAACTTGTGTGCCAAAGCAATAACAAGTGCAGCCGGTAGTCCAAATAGTTTGACCGAAGTCGCGCATGTCCTTGATCTCCTCCATAGCCCAGGAAGCCTATCAAAGGGGTACTAACCAGTTAAGCAAAATGTGTCTTCTGAAAACTTTAACACGTTGCTCACTACGCTCTCCGGAAACCATAGGCGCAAACTTACCAAATGCTTGTGTAACCTCAGGTGATCCACCATAGAGTAGGGAAAACACTTTATAGCCTTCTGAGTGCATTTCTTCCTTGCCTGTAACAAATTTCGGATAAAAACGCCGTTTTAAAACAGGGATTTACGCCCCTATGAAAACATGCAAGAAAAGCGTTAATTTATCTGTCCACATATCAAGTTAACTAGGTTCGTTTCCTTCCATCTGACCGTCCAACCACCTATCAGCTCATCTATACATTTAGCCACAAATTCTATTGCTAAGCTGGGGAAAACCGTCAGTAGTATTCAGCAATCATTATATATATATATATATATATATATATATATATATATATATATATATGGAGATACCCTGTTTCGGATTTGCCTGTTACTGTGGCTTCCATAGGACAGCCACAGAACGCCTGCGTCTGCAGAACGACCATGGGTTGCTTGCGCTGCACCTCCCACAGTCCCATCCACACACCCCATATCCAGTGTAAACCAGAAGGAATAAGACCGAGAAGCATGTGGGTGGGAGCCACCTTTCATCAACGGAGCCGACCCACGCTCCTTCACACGGAAGCACAAGCACGCTTTATTTGGGGAATCAATCGCACACAACGCGGTGACTTGACCGTACTCCGCTCCACATTGATTGCATGGAGCTACTCTTTGGGCTTACCACGGCCACGGGGACTGTACATCCCGTCCCCCTCCAGCAACGACCAACTGTCTCCTGGAGCCAGATGAACGAGGCGGTTGGTTATAGAAAACTAGGCACCTTGTCAACATGTGCATTAAGCGCAGGCACACTGGGGATGTCAAAGAACAGCCACTCAAAAGTCAATGTTAGTGAAGATATAGTTTCGATAATTCTTCAACAGGCCAGTACAATTATATACCAGTTACATCAACAGCTGTTCGTAAGCCTACGGCTGCCCTGGATGTAGGGGTGTCAAGCCTGCCCCTCTACCCTGTTCTAACTTGTTCCGGTCTCACCCTACCTGTCATTTTACATATTTTCATGCTATTGTGTTGGCACTGAAGAGACAATACGAAATGTTGACAACTGTCAGTGTTCGTCTTCTTATGGCATTCATAAATTTGTCTGGATAACCGTTTTCCCGCGGCTACGAGCATATTTGCTGTAGTTCCCTTGCAAGTGTGTCATGATGTAGGGCGGCGGAAGCCAGTGACTACTCGTAAACAGGAACGAGGGGATTGTAGAGAAGTAACAACGGGCGCAGTGGATGAAACGAGACAAGGCTCTGTGAGCGTTGCGGATCGAGCAGACAACGGATCACGGACGGTAGCTGGTAACGAGCCTGGGCCCAGAACAATGGAGGTATTTGTCGAAAACACGATGAATCAGACAAGTACACCGCTAGCGAAGCTCACTAGAGTGTACGCTGCGCGAGTAATGCAACCGCGGGAGAGCAAATCGCGAGCGTTCGAACGACTCATGACCGGCCAGGACCGTATACAGCGAAGCGGAGATACGGGATGGAAAGATGGTGGAGTTGTCTCGAAACCCAACTTCGTAGGCACCTGGAGTGGCCCGTTACCCAAACGCTCGTCCGCGTTATATCCTGGGAAGGAACCACGTTCAAAATCTGTACAGGTTTGTGAGTTGTCAGTGGCACGTTCTTGTGGCAATCCACGCTTTGCCCCCCTGCGGCGTTCTCGCTACAATGAGAGCAGACCCTTTCTGCTCTACTGACTAGATTATGAATTAAATTCCGCTTCAGCCTTAGTGCTATGAAGCTGTGGAAGTTAAATAGTGGCCTTCCTAGTAGCTTTTTTCATATGCGTGGTTCTGTAATATCCCGCTATTTCTTTAGACCCGCATCCAGAAAGTGAAAACATTCATTTGCCTCTACCTCCGCGGTAAAATGCATCGCCTTATGGGCTGGGTTAAAATGGTTGCTGATATCTTCAATATCCTGGGAGGACTAAAACATCACAAATATGTCATCAATATTAAGGCGGTACAGGTTAAAACAGGCGATGGCTGATTTTAGCCTCACTTGTTCAAACATGTCCATGTAGATATCAGCGAGTACTGGTCCAAGTGAGGAGCCCATCGCCGCTACATCTCTCTGCCGGTAGATCTCTCCGTTACATAAAAATTGACCCTTAAACCTGCATCTAAGCAGCAATTCTTCCAAGGCCATGATGGGTATGCAGATGTTCATCCCGCTCCCGTCAATATATTTACAGATGTAATTTATTGTCTCAAATGTCGGTACATTGGTGCACAATAAGGAGACATCCAGCAAGCACATGGTTAGACTCCAGGCGTTTACATCTTTTATTGCCTCTACAAATTCAAAGCTATCCTTCACTCTGTGCGCTGCTATCCGCTTTCGGATGAGCGAAAATATTGCAACCGGCCACCGTGAGGTAGAGTGATAAGGTGAATCCTTCAGATCCAAAACCGGCCTCAACGGGACATTTGGTTTTTGAGTTTCGGGCAAACCGTAGAGACTAGGAATAACCGTACCCACTGACTGCACATACACGTAAACCTATTCAGTAATATAACCCGCGTTTTGTATCTTCTTGAGACATTTGCAGATATGGCTCTCGGATTGCTTTGCCACCTCTTTCTCCCCACTGTCCTCGAAAACTTCTTTGAATCTGTCAGTATATCGTACAGTTTATTAGGTTAATCCACTTTGTTTATAACGACAATACCAGAGTCTTTGTCTGGGATAGAAAGCAAGACCTGATCAGCAATAGCAAGACGATTCAAAGCATTAATGTGCTGACGACTCAAGGGACTTCGTTGTGTTGTCCGAGCAGGACGATATTGAAAACAGTCATGCACTAGTGAGGCGTTAAACTCTTCTACATGTAAACTGGAGGTCGGAGTTAATTGTGAGGTATGCGAGAATAGGTTTACAAACTGAGCTTTAATTGCCTCTGTTATCTCTTCTGTTAGGAAGGCAGAACTTAGGCCCCAAGGACAAAACTTCAACAGTAGTATGATCGAGTACCAGGGATAATAATTTGGTGACACCTTCCTGGTTTGGTTGAAAATAACTTTGTAAGTTTCTCCTACTTCACTGTTTTCGAAAGTGAATTCCGTACTTTTGTTCATGGTTTCGTGACGATCGCCTTAATCGTTTCCTCAAGCTACGTCTTGTGCTTCGTTGTGTGTGAGGCTCCTGCAGTGTTACCTTGAAGTATACCATGTTTCAATTCGTTGGTTTTGGCACGCAAGGTCTGGCTCATTGCTAGATACTTTAAACATTTGCTTGATGACCTGATACCAAATCCACGAAGTGAATTCCAATAGCTAGATGGGTACAAATCGGTTCCTACGTAGCATTCAATAAAACCGAAAAATAAATAACTTTCATCAAACCTAACCGCCATGACCACAAAGATCGCTCGGATAGGGCGACTAGCATTCCAATAGTTCAACTTCCCTATATTCGTAACAGAATTGCGGCAAATTCCTTAAGATCAGGGTAACCTGTCCTAGCTGTATTAGATCACACTGTCCGCAATGTGTAGGCAAATGCGTCCGAGAAGTGAGACAGACAATCCAAGTTGCTGACACATTTGGTTTTGCCCAACATGTCAACTCATTCCAGTTGTCAAGTGTTTAGCTTCGCTCATGGAAAAGTGCGATGGGATAACTGAAATAATCGCGCATTTTCTAAATACTAAGATCGATCCCACTGAGGTAAATATGGCCACGATAATACCTCACCCGGCCAAAGTAAGCTCTGACTCTAAACCGAAGAAAAGAGCTAGACGCTCCAACCGCACTGCAGTGTCTGTGACTCTAAATCCACTGATTCACCTCACTCCCATAAGCAGACATGCATCAAACATACCTGCTTCCACTCCTCCAACCATAGACTCTTCACTTGGAGATTCAGCCATGACACCAACGGCTCAGGGTTGAAGGCAATCCAGTGCAGATAACAGGGAGGTAACGTACGCATCGATTGTCTCGACAAACACACTGGGAGCGACACATCTTCAGTACCGAGCACGCTTGGCGCAAAGTAGCATTCACCGTCAACTCCAGTGGCGCCTTCTAAACGACCCGAATTGCCGGCAAAAATATAAAGCCAACACTCGGTAGACAAGACCACGCTGCGTTAACTTTCGTGTGCACCAATGTTCCTGAATCCAAATCTAGCCCAATAAAAAGTAAGTTGCGAGACGATCGCAGCCAGTGGAGTTCCCTCTGTGAGGCGATTGGTATTCGGGTTGAGACTGCAATGATGCAACGCGTAGCGCGTCACCCGACCTCATTGTACTCTGGTGAACCTAGAGTTCTTCGATTAACACTAGACTCAGCAGATGAGACAGAGGCTGTCCTGCTCTCAGCAGTTCGTCTTTGCAACTCACCGAGCGGAGTACGCATATTACCAGATCTACCTTGGAATGATCGCCCAAAAGAAGCAGCTGATCAACGCGGCATTCCTAATAGGAATAGCAAGAAAACAATATCTGTTCATGGTATTCCAGAGCTTCTACACTCTTCTGCTCACGATGCGCAAACACATGACCGAGAGCAGTGGTGCTACACCTGCGAAGCACTCTCTTGACAATGTTGTTGCCAAATCCCTGACAAGAGTTCCGTCATCACCTAACTACAAGGGCTTCGGTCCAAAGCTAATGAAAGTAATACTACACTCCGAGGGAATGACGCAAGTTCTGTTGGATAGCTGGTTAAAGTTTCGAGCTAGGTTGCCAACAGAGATCCGGCTATAGGAAGCAGGCGAACGGCCAAAAGTCGGAACTAATTCGATGGAACTTGCGAACACTACAAATCTTTATTTGCACAGTCCTGCGGAGAGACCGTCACAACAGCGTCCACGGTGCACACCAGGACAGAGCACAGCACGAGTGAAACTTCCGTTCACGAAAGCTCAACAATGCCATCCAACTGGACTGAAATACATAAACCAAAAAACGATAAATGACCGACCACCTAACGACCAGCTTAAAAACTAACACAAAGTTGACATCCGTCAACGCACACCTAACAATAAAAGCCCTATCTTGCATTTAAACAAACGACCAAGGCCTTCTAAGCAAGCTTCCCGAACTTAGAGAAAT